GGACGAGTGATGGCTTACAAGTAAATGTTTGTTGAGAACCTCCCCTCCCTCTTCCGAACTGTGATAGTTGCCTATTTTTAATAAATAGCCTCGTGTAACAAAGCCAGTTTTTTATAACTGCGTGGTGCGTTTTACATTAGCCAGTTTCTTCTTTCGAATATATAAAACCCACTGGCAGTTACGCTATAGATTGCTCTTCAACATAAACGTAACTGGCATGCGTGTTCTCGTATTTTTACTCAGTTGAAAGACAAATGTCCCGACCGTATATCGAACCCGCGTATAAATTTGTAGCAGCGCAATGCCACCTAAGCCGATAAGCCTTCGCAGCAGGTGCTATGAAGGCGTTTGAGCCGTACAGCTTTACAGTACAGTACTTTTGTTAATACAGAAACTTCGTGGTAGGGGCGTAGCTTTTTTAAAGGTTTCAGACGCGCGACTCGTGTTTGTGCACGGTATGACGTGATGAAATGAATTCAATTCAATTTTTATTTTCCAGTTTATACACACTAGATGGTTGCGTTGGGTTAAAAGCTACATAAGTAGCTTGACGAGACCCAACGACCAGACTATACAGGGCAGTAACAACAAGCAGTCCGGTGCAGTGACGAGAAAACCAAGTAAAACAGAATACCATATCGTATGTACATATACAGCGATTTACATGGATTTCCAGCATGAAGATTGCAGGAAGAAAAAGTAAAAATAAATACATGTGCATAAAAAGTGCTAGAAAAAAATAAATAAAAAAGTGCTACATACAATAAAATACGGCTATAGCATAAGTAATAAACATAAATAATAATAACACAGAATAATAACACCGTACCAATCTAGCAATACTAGCTATTCGAGACAAAATAAAAGAAAAACACTGGCCATATAACACAGCAAGAAATTCATGTAAGCAGAAGACTATGTTAAAGAAACAACATAAGTTACGCACAATTCAATTACACAGAATGTCACAGTATGTGACATTACAAGTGAACGAAATATAAGCGAAATATAAATGAATCTGTAATTCACTGAATTGCAAGGAATGTGCCTCGGGCGATAAACTACTAGGGTATTTTGAAAAGTCATCATCATCATCATCATCATCATCAGCCTGACTACGTCCACTGCAGGACAAAGGCCTCTCCCATGTTCCGCCAGTTAACCCGGTCCTGTGCTTGCTGCTGCCAATTTATACCCGCAAACTTCTTAATCTCATCTGCCCACCTAACCTTCTGTCTCCCCCTAACCCGCTTCCCTTCTCTGGGAACCCAGTCAGTTACCCTTAATGACCAGCGGTTATCCTGTCTACGCGCTACATGCCCTGCCCATGTCCATTTCTTCTTCTTGATTTCAGCTATGATATCCTTAACCCCCGTTTGTTCCCTAATCCAATCTGCTCTCTTCTTGTCTCTTAAGGTTACACCTACCATTTTTCTTTCCATTGCTCGCTGCGTCGTCCTCAATTTAAGCTGAACCCTCTTTGTAAGTCTCCAGGTTTCTGCTCCGTAGCTAAGTACCGGCAAGATACAGCTGTTATATACCTTCCTCTTGAGGGATAGTGGCAAACTACCTGTCATAATTTGAGAGTGCTTGCCGAATGTGCTCCACCCCATTCTTATTCTTCTAGTTACTTCAATCTCGTGGTTCGGCTCTGCGGTTATTACTTGCCCTAAGTAGACATAGTCTTTCACAACTTCAAGTGCACTATTACCTATATCGAAGCGCTGCTCCTTGCCGAGGTTGTTGTACATTACTTTCGTTTTCTGCAGATTAATTTTAAGACCCACCTTTCTGCTCTCCTTGTCTAACTCCGTAATCATGAGTTGCAATTCGTCCCCCGAGTTACTCAGCAATGCAATGTCATCGGCGAAGCGCAGGTTACTAAGGTATTCTCCATTGACTCTTATCCCTAACTGTTCCCATTCTAGGCTTCTGAAAACCTCCTGTAAGCACGCGGTAAATAGCATTGGTGAAATTGTGTCCCCCTGCCTTACACCCTTCTTGATTGGTATTCTGTTGCTTTCTTTATGAAGCCCTATGGTAGCAGTTGATCCCCTGTAGATTTCTTCCAGAATGTTTATATATACTTCATCTACGCCCTGATTCCGCAGTGTTTGCATGACGGCTGATATTTCTACTGAATCAAACGCCTTCTCGTAATCTATGAAGGCTATGTATAGGGGTTGGTTATACTCTGAGCATTTCTCTATTACCTGATTGATAGTATGAATGTGGTCAATTGTTGAGTAGCCTGTTCGAAATCCTGCTTGTTCCTTTGGTTGATTGCATTCTAATGTTTTCTTTACTCTGTTAGCAATTACCTTTGTAAATAGCTTATATACTACAGAGAACAAGCTGATCGGCCTGTAATTCTTCAAGTCCTTGTCATCTCCTTTCTTATGTATTAAGATGATGTTAGCGTTCTTCCAAGACTCTGGTACCCTTCCCGTCAGGAGACACCTCGTAAACAGGGTGGCTAGTTTTTCTAACACAATCTGTCCTCCATCTTTCAGCAGATCTGATGTTACCTGATCCTCACCAGCAGCCTTGCCCCTTTGCATGCTCTCCAAAGCTTTTCTGACTTCTTCTATCATTACTGGTGGGGTGTAATCTGGGTTACTGCTAGTTCGTATAGTATTAAGGTCGTGGTTGTCTCGGCTACTGTACAGATCTCTGTAAAACTCCTCCGCTATTTTAACTATCCTATCCATATTGGTAGTTATTTTGCCTTCTTTGTCCCTTAGTGCATACATCCGACTTTTGCCTATCCCAAGTTTCCTCTTCAATGCTTTGACACTTCCTCCGTTTTTCAGAGCGTGTTCAATTCTCTCCATGTTATACCTTCTTACATCACATACTTTAGGTCTATTAATCAACTTCGAAAGCTCTGCCAGTTCTATTTTGTCTGTTGTACTTGACACTTTCATGATTTGACGCTCCTTAATTAGGTTCTTCGTTTCCTGGGAAAGCTTGCCAGTGTCCTGTCTAACTACCCTGCCTCCAACTTCCACTGCACACTCCGTAATGATACTCGTCAGATTATCATTCATTGTATCTACGCTAAGGTTGGTTTCATCACTAAGAGCCGAGTACCTGTTCTGCAGCGACACTCTGAATTCCTGTACTTTCCCTCTCAGTGCTAGCTGATTTATTGGCTTCTTGCGTATCAGTTTCTGCCGTTCCTTCTTCAAGTCTAGGCGAATTCGAGACCGCACCATTCTATGGTCACTGCATCGTACCTTGCCAATCACTTCCACATCTTGCACGATTCCAGGGTGTGCACTCATTATAAAGTCTATTTCGTTCTTATTTTCGCCATTAGGGCTCCATGTCCACTTGCGGTTTTCTCGTTTTCGGTAGAAGGTATTCAAAATCCGTAAATTATTGCGTTCTGCGAATTCTACTAGTAGCTCTCCTCTGGCGTTTCTACTACCGACGCCATAATCTCCTACTGCCTGGTCTCCAGCCTGCTTCTTCCCTACCTTTGCATTAAAGTTGCCCATCACTATAGTATACTGTGTTTTTACCTTACTCATTGCCGATTCCACGTCTTCATAGAAGCTTTCAACTGAAGCGTCATCATGGCTGGATGTAGGCGCGTGAGCCTGTACTACCTTCATCTTGTATCTTTTATTCAGTTTAATTACGATACCTACCACCCTTTCATTAATGCTATAGTATTCCTCTATGTTGCCAGCTATGTTTCTGTGAATTAGGAACCCCACTCCCAGTTCTCTTCTGTCTGCCAAGCCCCTGTAGCAAAGGACGTGCCCATTCTGTAGCACCGTATAGGCCTCATCTGTCCTCCTAACCTCACTGAGCCCTATTATATCCCATTTAACGCCCTCTAGCTCCTCGAATAGTACAGCTAGACTTCCCTCACTAGATAAGGTTCTAGCATTAAACGTTGCCAAGTTCAGGTTCCAATGGCGGCCTGTCCGGATCCAGAGATTCTTAGCACCCTCTGCTGCGTTGCAGATCTGACCGCCGCCGTGGTCAGTTGCTTCGCAGCTGCTGGGGACTGAGGGCCGTGAGTTATTTGACGTAAGCATGTGGGAGGTAGTGGCCAGATACTGCACCAGGGTGGCCAATCCTTCTCTGGTGAGGGAGTGCGTTTTCGGCGGTGTTTGCCGGTGAGGCCGCACCCCCAGGCCTCTTAATGCAGTTCCATCAACACGCGGTTTTTTTTTTTTAATCCGGTTGGGAACTGCGCGGTACCGGGATTTGAACCACGGACCTCTTGCATGCGAGGCGGATGCTCTAACCACTACGCCATCGCCGCACTTTTTTTTTGAAAAGTGGGCTACGCCTAATAAAACTATAATAAATAAATAAATAAATAAATAAGACCTCCAGAAACACGCGTACATTCACAGAATAACAGACGTGAACTTCAGTCACAAAATTGACCTAATAAGAATTTGTCGTTGAGCCAGTACATAGCATCACGATTTTGGCGTAAAGACGAAGACATGAGAGAAAATAGGACAGGTGCTACTAACAACTGGTTTATGGCAAAAGGCTTCAATGCATAGTTATGAACAGATGTATCCAGCGCATGTCACGACTACACCGCTCATGAGGCTAAGAAAATGCGACATAAAAAAAAAAACTCTAATCTCGCTCTGATACAGACAGATGGACGTGTCGCATATTCAGTTACTTTTTTTATATATATAATGCGCGACTCCTAGAGGCCATGGGCTGATTCTCTCCGGCTTCTGCCTAGAATCCTGGCTACATGAAACACGGGCTAACACGTGCATTTTCGGCAGTGGTACGAAAGACGAGCACCATACAGTTTCTTTGAATATTGCGCATGCTCTTTTAAGAGATGTTCTTCAAGTTAAATGAGAAGCGCTTGAGCGTGTCACTTTTCGTATTGGTCTCATTGGAATTTCCATCATACATTTCGTAACGTGCACAAATTATACCAGCAGAATATTACACTGTACGTTAACCCGACCCTACTAAGACACCCTACGGAGTTCACTACTCACGTGGTTTGACGCCGGCCGGCTTGTCGTTCGACGGCGCGGCAAGGACCGACCCGGGAGGCAGGCAGGACATCAGAAGACAGACGGACAAACACAGGTGCGGCGCACCGCGAGCCACCACCCTGATAGCCGAAGCGTCCCAATAGGCGTTACGGCGCGACGCCGGCAGCCCGTCCGATGCCATGTGCTCCTCGCTTTGAGAACGAGAGGCTTCTCCGGAGACGCGCCGAGCCACGCGGTGCAGCTACCTTCGGCGAAGCAGGAGCGCTTACGGGGCAGCGGCCGAGCAGCTCCTGAGAGTGATGTTCCCACGCTCCTCTGGCGGCGAACACACGCACACCACCGCCAGTCGATGCGCCGTCCGAGTTCGGAGTGACGCGCACTAGTCCCGTGGAAATCGTTGGGCTCGGCTCCTTTTCTGCCCTCTCCCTCCTCATTCCTGGTTTTCTCCCTCTGCCTCCTGCTCCACTGCCTGCGCGACTCGCTAGCGCTCTTTCCCACCGGGATTCGTTCGCCCCGTCTCCCTATCACATTCCCCTTCACTTTCGTTCGACAGCGGCGGTGACTTTTCTTGGGATGCTTCGGAGGGCGTCGTTTACCGATTATGAAGACTGCCCGCGAAAAGCGTGGCTTTGTGCTTTGGGGCGATTGGAATAGAAATGGTCTAGAAAGGCGACGGCTAGAAGCAGTAATACGCCAATGCCTCGGACTGAAAAGTCAAATCACTTCCCGTTTTTTTTTTTTTGAGGCACTGAACTGCAATCGCCGCTTCATCCGCTATCTTTATCGCAGAGCATCATCTCAATGTGCCGTCATCAGCCCTACGCATATCGAGTGGTTCCTTTCTAGATCGACATACAAAGAACAGAAATAGAAAACATGCCATCTTTTTCGGCCGTATCGGACGCCGTATACATACATCCCCCCGCACAGCGCTCTTTTATCATGGACAAGCGTTTTGTCGACGACATTTTACTTAAAGCCCAAGTCACAACGTTAGCACACCCATCCCCCCCCCCCCCCCATGCGCCTTTTTTTTTTGCCATGCGTAAAACGCTGAGCGAAAAAAAAATTTTCTTCAACATATTTAGAGAGGTGTTCTCGAGGTAAGGCTCCTGGTTGCAGTAATTCTTATTCCTACAGCCTTTTCGCTGATTGCGAACTTCTGCTGTCATAATTGAGTTAGGGAAATCAAATACTCTCACAGAAGACTGTATACTTGAAAGACGTTTCCTCTAATACAAAAAAGAAACGAGGCAGTCAAAGCTTTTCCCCGAAACCACATACGAAAATTGAATTGGCCTTTGTCAAATCAGGAGCGACATTTTCTTGAAAATTGATCTTCTTGCCCGGTAAAATTTTACGAGCTTATATTTTTCGTATAGTTGGCGTGTTGTTCGTTCGCACAATATGCGTAGAAGTGTTTAGAACGAAACAACCAGTTCAAATTGTTAGCGTTGGATTTAGTATATGGAGCTTCATCAACGCGATAGCATTAAAAAGCTTCTTCCGCAGAAATCCCAGTGTCGGCGTTGTTCATAGTGAGCGAAAAATTATCTTGCACGTGAGAAAAAATCGAGAAATATGCGAATAAAATAAATAATAAAAAAACCTGGGTCCGAGTGGACATCCAGCCTGGGTCATTTGCGTGGCAAGTGGGCGTTCTACCACACAGCCACACTTCTGCTTGTGACTACAGTGAAAATAAATTCCACTGCACGGAAATGCAGCAAAAGTAACTTGCTTTGCAAAGACACATGTACTGGCTCCGCCGTGGTGGTCTAGTGGCTAAGGTACTCCGCTGCTGACCCGCAGGTCACGGGTTTGAATCCCGGCTGCGGTGGCTGCATTTCCGATGGAGGCGGAAATGTTGTAGGCCCGTGTGCTCAGATTCGGGTGCACGTTAAAAAACCCCAGGTGGTCGAAATTTCCGGAGTCCTCCACTACGGCGTCTCTCATAATCATATGGTGGTTTCGGGACGTTAAACCCCACATATAAATCAATCAATGACACATGCACTGTACACATGCTTCAGAATACCACATGAAATATTGCAGTAATAATGCGTGGTTCAAGCGTAAATTGCCATCGGTTGTCACGATGATCCTGCGACGGGCCAGCTACCGAAAACGAGACCGGCAAGACCCGGAGTCCAACAACTGGATGGCAGCGGCGGGATGCCGATAACCCCGAAAGCGACCACTGGACAGAGTGAGCCCGAAGTTCAACAACGGGACGACAGGAGAAGGAGGAGACGAGCTCATCGACTTCCAGAGGGAATCGAACGGCACTTCTGAGAGGCACGACGCCGGAGACATGACTGCGAACTGGGTGAGTGCCGGCTTTCTCTGTTAAATTTTACCAGGCATTTACTCTATGTGTTAAGTAAAAGCTGGTAGAGAGGGGCTGTCTTGGTCATTGGGTTAACAGGTAACTTGCGTCAGGCAGAAATTGTGTGATAGCTTGGTTAAGCTCTTTCTGTCAGTGGCGTCAAGGTTAACAGTGACAGGGCAGGATTCCGTGTAACAGCTTTTGAAGCTTTATTTGTAGACTAAGTTAACGGAAAACTTGAGGCAAGGCAGGTATCTAGAGCTGTCGTTGCCGTCAAGGTTAATTAGTTGCAAGACAGGAATCTTTGTGGAACAGAGACGGCGGTACTGGAGGCAGCCATGAATCTGAAATCCCTGCGAAAGTCCATGTTGTTGCTTCTTGCAAGGGAGTTAAATCTGGAGGTGTCGGACTCTCAAAGAAAGCCAGAGCTGATAGAGGCGATTCTCGCATTGGGGGCGGAGGATGACGAGCTGTCAGAATGTGTCGAGGAGATTCAGGAGAGGCAAGCGGCAGAGGCCGAAAGAAAGGCGGCCGAGGCCGAAAGAAAGGCGGCCGAGGCAGACAAGATGCGAAAGCACGAGCTTGAAATGAAGCGCCTCGAGCTAGAGATTAGCCATAATAGTAGAACAGGAGGCAGCGAGGCATCCGGTACCGCAGAGCGGGTCAGGTTCAAAATGACGGACCTAATGAGATCGTACAAGCTAGGGGAGGACATTGGGCTGTTTCTCGTCAACTTTGAGAGAACTTGTGAAAGGCAAGGTTTCAGCCAGGATACGTGGCCTCAACGCTTGTTGTCCCTACTTCCGGGGAGGCCTCAGAAGTAATCGCGCGCCTCACGAAAGAGGAGGCTGACGAGTACAGTGAGGTAAAGTCGAGCCTTCTCAAGAATACAGGTTGTCAGCGGAAGGTTTCAGACGAAAATTTCGCAACGCCGTAAAAGAGAGCAATGATTCATACCCGGAGTTTGCTTACAAGTTAATAGCCAACATGGGGGAGTGGCTGGAAAGAGGCAAAGGCGTATGGGAATCATGACAAGGTGCTCGAGTGTATCGGTCTGGAACAATTATATCAAAGGTTACCAGAAAGGTGAGGTTCTGGGTTCAGGATAGACCAGACGTGAACACCGTAACAAAAGCCGCAGAGCTCACTGAAGAATTCGTTACGCGCCGCGCCCTCGGGGCAAACAGCGAGCCTAAAAGGGAAAAATTCCTACTACCGAATAAGGCGCCGTTTAGAAAACAACCGACAAGTCTCGCACAAAAGGGTGAGGAAAACAATTCATCTAACCATGGGGCGTCGGCAGAGGCAAGCAAAAGGAAATTTGAGGCGAGAAAACCGGCTGCTTGTTTCAATTGTCACGAAACAGGGCACTTCGCGAAACACTGCCCGAAAGAAAAGGTGGCCTTTTTATCTATAAATGAAGCCGACGAGAACATGAAGTTGTTAGAGCCCTATATGTACGACCTTACGTGAACGGCAAGCAGTGTCGGGTTCTTAGAGACTCCGCAGCCACTATGGACGTAGTTCATCCGTCTTTTGTTCAGTCCGGACAGTATTCAGGAGACTGTGCCTGGATTAGACAAGCCATAGAAGCAAACAGTCAGTGCCTCCCCGTAGCTAAAGTTGTCCTTAAAGGCGCATTTGGTACGTTGGAAACGGAAGCCGCGGTATCGCCATATCTACCCCCTCAGTATCCTTACTTATTTTCAAATAAGTCAGATCAAATGCTGAAGGAGAAAGGTCTAACGTTGGGAGAAGGCATAGTGCAGGCACTGACTAGATCGAAGGCACGTGCGCTGGCTGCAAGAGCAACATTCACTGAGGCAAACAAGCCTCAAATCGACAACGGGCCTGGTTGCAAGTTGGACACCACGGTAACAAATCGACTTGTGCGAGAACAGGCTGCAGAAGCCGTAGTCGCGGAAGCAACCATTCCTAAAGGCGACGATGAACCTCCTCCCGAATTGGAAGGGGTCAATTACGCCTCGTTGACCGAGCAAATAGAAAATGCCGTTGCTCCCAAGCCGATTCCTGGTAGTACAGAGGATAGCACAGAGGGTGACACATTCCAGGTACTAGGAAATACAAAAGAGTTGTGTGTCATGCCAACTTCGGATAATTTCAGTCGGCTGCTGCAGGTGAGCCCCGCTTCATTAATAACCGAACAAAAGGGGGACCCGACGCTTAAGCAATTCCATGACAGTTCGAAAGAGGGAATCGCCAAACGAAATGTGAGATTTCAAGAGAGGAACGGCATACTCTATCGAAAATATCTAGATAGGCGAGGAGTAGAATTTGACCAGGTAGTCGTACCTCAGGCGTATCGTCAGGATTTGCTTAGTTTGGTGCATGGAGAATCATGGTCAGGCCACTTAAGCGTAAAGCAGACGAAAAATCGTCTCTTACAGGAATACTACTGGCCTGGATGCTTTAAAGATGTAGAGAGGTTTGTAAAATCTTGCGATGTGTGTCAGCGAGTAGGTAAGCCGGCAGATAAGGCGAAATTTCCAATGAAGCTGGTACCCGTAATCACGGAACCCTTTCGTCGGTTGGTAATTGACACAGTAGGTCCTTTGCCCAAGACAACTTCAGGCTACCGTCACATCCTGACCTTAATCTGCCCAGCTACTAAATTTCCAGAGGCGGTCCCGCTAAAAGAGCTAAGTTCCGTCGAAGTAGTGAACGCACTTCTGTCCGTGTTTGCCCGGGTAGGCTTTCCTGCCGAGATACAATCAGACCAGGGCACCATTTTCACGAGTGCCTTAACGACAACCTTTCTAGAGCGGTGTGGCGTGAAATTATTGCATAGTTCAGTCTACCATCCGCAGTCGAACTCGATAGAAAAGCTTCACTCCGTGATGAAGCGAGTGTTAAGAGCCTTATGTTTTGAACGGAAAACTGACTGGGAAATGTGCTTACCTGCAACGAGGTTTGCACTAAGAACTGCACCACATG